TGCAGTTTAGGCTCGCCAACTTCCACCCATAAACACTGACCAATTTAAGAAAAATACGAAAAGTGTCTTCAAAATGTTGAATAATTCAAAATATATACCCTGGGAGTGATGTCTTTAGTATATCAACTGATGTAATTGCAGTCCTTCTGACTGGCAGGTCCTAGATTAGAGTGCCGTCGCTGGCAGGATTTGCCTTCCTAGTTTGTCAGCTAGGTCGAATTCAGCCGCTGTCTGAGGGAGAATTCTAACGGTCGGCTGCTCTGAGCGGTACTCCGATCAACACCTGGCGATTGCCGGAGCAGTACCCTAACAAACGGCGAAGAAAGGAACACGAGCAATACCTTCTTGTTCCTTGTCCTATCATCACCCCTTACACACAATTAGACTGGCATGCACTTCACCATCACACACGACGGGAGATCGGTCAGAACCTTTGACCTTTTCCCAGCAGAGGTGGTGCCCCGACAGTGAGAGATATCTAGTTCGGGAAAACCCCGCTAGCCGATGATAGGTCAACGCCGGACCACTCCGTAAAGCGGCGGTCCGCCCTCTCCCGAGCGAACGAAACATTCACTACACTTACGGGGCCAATGACACTAGTAGTTGACGCGCCCGGAATTCCACCAATCAATCAAAATATATGCATGTAAAAGAAACTCCCGAAGAAAGCGCGAACATCTGCAATATCTTTTCTAACAGTCGTGCTTACTTACGTCCCGCGAACCCACACAGGAACCACGCACGTTTTAAGTGTCGTTGACAACGGTTCGTATTTTAGTACCTGTAAGAAGGTGCTACAGGAGAGCTCGCAACTATAATGGTCTCCTCCACGTTGTGTGGGAGTTGAAAGGCCCTGAACCCGCTGCCCACGACCTCCTTCTTGCCGTCCACGCCCCCCACGGCGCCGCCAGTGCCTTCGGGCTCTTGCTTGTCCTCCATGACGCACCCACGGGCTCACTTCTGGGTTCAATGGGTTGCCTGCTCTGCCCGCATGGTCCAGTCCATGACTTGAGGGATCTTCATCCTGACATCTTCATACGGCGTGCTCGCGTGTGAATCCTCACCAGTGAATCTACGCTCCGAAATCTCCACTTCTGAATCCATGCACAGAAATCCTCATTCGAGAATCCTCATTCGACGATCCTCACTCGACGATCCTCACTCGACGATCCTCACTCACTTCGACGATTCTCACTCACTTCGACGATTCTCACTCACTTCGACGATTCTCACTCACTTCGCCGATTCTTACTCGACTATCCTCACTTGACGATCCTCACTCACTTCGCCGATTCTTACTCGCTATCCTCACTTGACGATCCTCACTCACTTCGACGATTCTTACTCAAAAATTCTCCCTCAACATGAACAGCGAGTTCTTTGGATACATGTGGTGGCTCTGTCCACGATTCGAATGTTTCAACGCCCTCTGGACATCGTGGGCTCGTCACGTAGCGTCTCCGTGGGACAGTTCTCCGCCAGCCATCTTGCGAATCCCTCTCACAATAGCTCTTATGCACCTTCCTTCCAGTCAATCCAAACTGGACAGTCTTCACTCGATAAGCAAGCGCATTGTTTTCCTTTGTAAATCCTGGCTCGAGAAGTATGACTCGTATATCTTCACACAGTAAGCATCACTCGCCGATCCTGCCTCCGCGATCCTTAGACGACCACTCTTACACTCGCAAATACTTTCCCGTAAATCCTCACAGGCCAGTCTTCTCTCGATAAACATCACTTCTCAATTCTCCCCTAACATTTCGCGTCCGTCAATGAGATCCTTCACAAGTCATCGCCTCTCACTCGTCACTCTGCATCGTCAATATTATTGTGTTAAACCTCCACTAACATGCCCCTCTCGCCAATTCTCTGTCAGTAAGCTCGTGTTGTTCCTCTGTCGTCAAAGTTAATTCGTTAAACGTGTTTCCTCCAATCACCCATTTATAGATTCCTATTCCAGTCACTCTTCTGTACATTGTGATCATCTGTATATTATGCATTCATGTCTTATCAGATATTTAGTGTGGGGGTGTACCGTCTTGTCGCTCGCAGAACTGACCTCGTCTGTGAGTCCTCTTGTTTGTTCTTTTAATATCGGACCATGAAGCTGATAGAGACCCGCATAACAAGAACACACTATTTGAGACCGCGGGTCACAGTAGTTGAAGGAATGGGGGAACCTGATAGCTACCATAATAGTCTCACCCGGTAGAAAATAGGCCCGAAAGGAATGACAAGAGTAAACCATTACCAAAGTAGTGATTTCTTCTGAAATATGTAGGTTTAGAGGTGGAGTCAGAGAATATCATAGGAGGTCAGAGTAAAACAGGGATATATGTATATACTACTGATTTATGTAAATGTGTATACAGGTGTCCAGAGAGGAAACGACGAAACATCGAAAATAAGCTATTAAGACAATTTAAGCTCATTTTATCTAATAAATTCCTTGGATATTACGAATGACTGAGCCGCAATAAGCACTCAAAGCGGCTTTGAAAAAATACTTTCTATTCAAATATTTGCATTTCAAAACATGCAAATATTGCAAAACAAAAACTAATTGTTTATTATTTACAAAATAAATGAGAACATTTGTTAAAAAACAAAAATTAACACAGAAATTTAAAAAAAACACCCAATATACACAATTCAACTGCTTTTTTTTTAAATTTCTGTGTTAATTTTTCTTCCTCGTCACCACTTCCCCTCTTGCATTGTAATTCCTCCCCGCTTCCCTCTTCCGCGCTTCCTCCGCTTCACTCTCCCCACGCTTCACCCTCCCCCGCCCCCCGCGCGCGCGTCGGAATCCGCTTCCAGGAGGAAATCGCTTTTCGCGCGGCCTCTCTGGCGTCCAGAAGCGGTCGAAAAGTGTTTACGGCGAATTGATATATTTCGTTTCACGCACTTAACCTGCGCGCAGGTACTACTTGCGATTGATTCACGCCCGGCGCTCGCTCGCTGCGAGCACGAGGGCCTTTTTTCGGGGGATTTCGGGTTACTTGGCAAGGCGGCGCCGCGCCACTACACCCCTTTTCACTGGTCGCGGTGTTGCCCGTTTGAAACATGCCTTTTTTTGAAAACGAATCCCATCTCACGTGATTTCCATTTGCGAGGCGAGTGAATTGTGTTCTTCAGAAACGCGTATACTATGTTCGGTTGGCGAAAAATGTGAGTGATAGAAAATGGTCTGATGAATAACGACATGAAAACAAAATTTTGTACTCAATTTTCATCATTTTTTAGTTGATACAACTTACGGTGGAAGTCACTGTATCATTTTTAATTGAGCTTCTAAAAGATGGATATGTCTCAATAAAAATCTCTACAATTTAATGCAGAATTTCACTGAACGCCAAAGCGGAAAATCCTTTTAGTGGCGTGTTAATTATTGTGAAATAATATTTGAAATGTTGAGATGATAATTACACAAAACATTTTTAAAACCTCCCTGTTGCCTAAATCATTCTAAATATGTTTTTCGGGCCCTTTCAGTCTGAATCCGGTGTTCAAATTACTCTAGCATGCTCATATTTTCTAGATTCTTCTGTATACTATCAATGAAACGTTTTAAAAGGGATTGACTTCAAGTTTGTCGGCCAAGTTCAAATTCCTTCTGCAGATAATTCAAATGCCCTCGGTAGTATTTTAATAGAAGTATAAAAATTCTTGGAAATTTATTGTAACAAAGATACGAAAGCGAACTTATTAAAACCGTTCTGTATGAGTAAGAATTTCATTATTATTATTATTATTATTATTACTATTATTATTATCATTACAATTAGTAATAATTTAGTTATAATTGTTTAATATTTAATTACTTTTATAGGTTGTTTAAATTTATTTTAGGTCTCTTTTCAACTTCTTGGTCATTAGCGATTTGTTATAGAATAAATTTGCGTTTACTTTTGTGATACAATTACATGTGCATTATGCATTTGTTGATTTCAATACGTGCATATTATTTCAATAAACTTTGAAGTCATCTGGTCACAATTTGACGAATGTATTTTTTAAATCAAATTAGTAATTCACGGTACTTAAAATATATATATTTGCTTCCTCGTAATATAATATTGAAAACCTCCCAAATCAGCAGATTTTTTTTAATTTTTCAAAACTTCCTTGACTAGGAGATTAAAAATTGAGTTCCATGAAAACGAATAAGATCATAAAACGTTATCATTGATAAAAAAATCTCCATTGCAGCAGCAGGTAAAATTGAAGCTTTTTAAATTATCTAACAGCCTTACTATAGTTTTCATATCTACCTTTCTTGTACTTATTGTTCTAATTTAATAATAATAATAATAATAGTAATAATAATTGTCCGCAGATCCACTGAAGATGCGAAAAACAGACCCCCAAACATGGTTAGGTTATAAGTTTTAATAAAAATTATTAAAGAGTTTATTTTGTGGTTGGTATACATTTCTTTCAGCTGATCTAAAAGGGTTTCATGTAACAGCGTTCCCGCCGTGGATTTTTATCGCTGCGAACCACTGCCCTCGTCACTCGCTCGCCGCAGGCCGAGAACACTCGTCGTGCGAGCGTCGATTGATCCCCGCGAAGGGTCTGCCGGGCGATGGGGGGCGGCGGGGGTTGAAGTGGGAGGGGAGGTCGGAGCGAGCGCGCGCGGAAGAGTTTGGTGACACAATGAGGGAAGAATTAATACCGACGCGCAGCCGCTCGCAGAAAAAGAGGGCTCTCCACGCCACTCGCCAGCGTTTTGTTTGGCGCCGGCGCGGCCTCGCGAGGACGGCTGCCCTCCTGGTCGCCATTTCATCCGTCCTCCCTGTCCGCCGGGTCTCGCCTTTACGCTCCCGTCGGGCTCGTATTGCCGCGCTTTTAAGCCTTGTGGAACACCTTAATGTACTCTAATCTACACTTCTCTGTGAAAAACTTTTTTGACAAACATCATGTTCATACGCTTCACAGAATTGGTTGTTTTTCTACGAAATTTTCATATGATTCCTCGGTTGACAGTCGGTATTCACCTTGACTCTACTGTTGAGCTGATATCGTCTCATTCGTGATCCTTCTGGGAGACCACAAGGATCATCTTTACCTATCCTCAGCCATACACAATCTTAACAAAACCTATGTTCATAAGCTTGCGTTGGTTTTTAAACGAAATTTTCATGTCTGCCGTTTCTGACCAGCGGTTCTCGCCTCTGTGTTATCATTGAACTGATATCGTTGCATGGGTGAATCTTGTAGAATAACTTATTTTTATCATCTTTTTCTTCGGTTTGTGATACACTTTATCAACAAACATGTCCATATCAAACCAGTTTAAGTGGCTCACGGTATTAGTTGATGTCATTGCAGAGCATCTGACAGAGGTTCTAGCGTTTGAGTACCGACAGTGGCAGGAATTTAGACATTTGTTCGGTAGATTGAAGCCGCTGTCTGAAGGAGAATTCTAGCGGCCGGCTGCTCTGATCGATAGTTTTTTCATGGTTTCTCCAATCAACACATACCCTAATAAACAGACCATGAACCGCGCGCGATATTTCCTTCCTCTCACGTTACTTACATGCTGTACACTACCACACATGCCGGGTGACCAGTTGGGAGCTTATAGCTTGTCCGGACTGGCCCCGCTGTGGGAGATACCTGGTTGGGGAAACCCCCCGCAATCCCCGTAAGTGCAGATCAACGCCGAATCTCACCATCCAAAGGGGAAAGACAAAAGCTTGCACAACACTAGCGGGATTAATGACCTTAGCACTTGACGCGCCTGGAAACACTAATTAATCCATAAACCAATCAATTTAATCCATATCAGAATTTCTTTGTTTTTGCACCAAATCCTTATATTCGCCCTGATTTCATCGCCATTTCTCGCCATCGTGCTGTCGGTAGACTGACATCGGCACATTTGTGAGCCTTACGAGCAAAATTATAATATTTAAAGGAAATCAATGCAAAAATAACAATAAATATTCACGAAAATAGCCGCTCACTTTGTATAACTTATTTCCTTAATTGGAAAATTAATACAATGATATTATGAGAGAATAATACGTCTACCCATCCTTGCCCTCTCTCTGTCTCTGACACACTTTCTTAAAGACACTGGATTGTTGTTTTTTTTCTAGATTGGGAGTACACAATTTTCTGCAAATACAAAGATGTATTTAATTTTATTTATTAAAATTCATTTAATTATTATTTATTTATTAAACAATAAAAATTTCCACGACAGCGTTATTTTTAAATATTTTATCGCATGATGAATGAAAAATTCACTGATGGAAAATGTACCCGTCCAAGAATTCATAATCGTCTTGAACAGTGTGTGAAAGGTTCAAATTTGAGTTTGATTCACACATATACGAAACGCAACTGCTCAACGTGATGTACTAAAATTGTCAGTCTGTTCAATCAAATATGATTGTGTATAATGTTTATGCTATATAGTAGGAAGATCTGAGTTGTTATTACTTACATCGATATTGAACAGAATTTGGCTGACTGAGCGAACATAGCATTTGTTTTGATCATCCAACTGCTGCGTTATCCATAAATATATTATTCATTTACATGATTGTCCTTAATAAGAAACACATATGAAAACTTCTGCAGCAGGTAACTGAACACTCAACATAATTACGAAGGTAGCTGTTGTATCGAAATATCTAACTTGATTTATATTCGTATCTCGTTTCTCTCCACTCAAATCTTTCATACATAATGAATTAATAGCACAAACTCCTTCAAAATTAAATATGCAAGAAACGAAAATATTGGCTTGTTTCCGTACATATTCCATTTACCTTTCCTTGAACATGTAACCAATTCTAGAACTGGAATTATTCCGTGAAAATAATTATGTTTTTCTTTGTGTTTATTCAGTCTTTAACCTTTCCCTCCACTCCTTCATCCCAGGCTACATAATTCATTCCAGCCACGACGTGCGTAATTTATCACACCTCGCGCTGGAAGTGTACCGCTAACACCAATTTGCCGTCACTTAATTTTTATCCGCCCCCTCCCTCCTCGCACGCACATGCTTTTTACATCTCCTCACTCCATAAATACACAAAACATGTTCCCTTCCATGTCTCTCTGTTTTCCCTAACAGCTAGTTTCGGTACGAATGCGTAAAACGAAGCCCATCAGTTCTACCTCTCCCTTTGCGAAAGGGAAAGCTAGCTGGCAACTTGTCGAGGGAGGGAGCGAGCGACTGATTTTTAACGCGAGTCTTACACGCGAAGGTGGTAAAGTTTGCATGAGGCCGCTAGCAGGCCAAACGGGTAACAACGTGCGTGATAGGGTGGGCGTCCCGTAGCCCTCCCGTGTCGGATCGTGTGCTGTGCCAACACGGTCAGTGACAGCTCTAATCGGACGGACAGTAATTTTTCGTTTGCGCTTTGTAAAACTACCCGAACAACGTGCGTAAAAAACCATACTCCGGGCCCGCTTGCGTGTTTAACTTTCCCGCGTTGGAATCGCGCGGGAACTCCTGTCAACGCGGCGCCGCGCGCTTCTTTTCGGTGGGAAACAAAAGAGTGCGGCTTTTGTAATGGAGCGTGTGTTTGTTTTTTTGACTGTGTGGGTCGCGGAGGCTAGAGAGCAGGGGGTTAAACTCCACCGCGACAAAAAATCGTCGCAGTTTTATTCGGTGTAGATCTGCGGCGGTAAATCTGATATGAAGTGATGAACTTAGTACAACAGTCAGTAATTTGATGTGTTTGTATTCATTTATATAATTACAAATATTTTGTTAATATTTGTTTTTTTAATGGAGTATTCATACTTAGTAGTTATTCAAATTGAGAACTAAATACCGTTGGCTTTTTTAAAATTTTACTTCTACTAATTTGCAGTTCACACATATTAACGAAAGATTTCGTTATTTAAGAGCTGTTTACGAAGTAAGCTACTACTTTCAAAACACGTGAAATATCTAAACGCAAAGCAACATTAAAACCATCAAAACAAGGTAATACGTCTCTAGGTACTATAAATACGATAAACTGTTTAATCGACGTCGTTTTATTCATATAATTTTACACTGTTTCTCATTTACGTTTATCCTCTAGTTCTCTTGTTTTTATGTATCGAGCAAAAATGTGTGTATGCAAATCACTGTCCGTATAGGACGTTGAAAACATATTACACAGATCAAACATTTTTTTTCAAATTTGTCATCAAACCGATGCAAAGCGAACCTAAAATAATAAGTACAAAAATGAGGAATTTATGACTATAGAACACTTCTATGTTCTATAAATTATTGCATGTTTATCAATATATTTATTTAGTGCCCACCTATCAATTCGTTAATAACTCTCGTTAGTTTGAGTATTTCGTTTTCTCTCCAATTTTTTACCTGTTCACTCGTCCTAGCCAGGTTTTTCAATTGGTCCTCGTTTCCACCCAAATTGACTTCTGTTTACCTTCCCAGTTACGTCTTTTGCAATTACCAGTTTTCCATTGTTGATTTTTTCGGTTGTCTGGTTTTCCAAAGGTCTAATTTTTCGATTGCGTAATTGTCTGATTGGGCAATTTAGCAACGTGACAATTCAATGATAGGTCAGTTTATCGTTGCACAAATTCGGCAGTGGGTCGATTTAGAGTGACGATGATGTAACGATTTGGCGCATTACTGGTAGGCAAATAGGTCACCAGATTATTTTTTTCAAACACCAGTTAATTAATTGGTATAATGTTTTGTTGCCGATGGGGCATATTGTTTCCTTAAACTGTCCATTCACATTTATACCTTTTTTCTTTTAAAATACTGTAATTTTGTAATGTCACCATTGATCTGACCATTCCTGAGTTACAAAATACATGTCTATTATTTAAAGTAATGATTTATTATTAATGTATTTTAATGTTATAACAATGTGGAATCATTCACATTTATATTATGAACAATTTTGCATTTTTCAAAATACGTTTTTAATATTTTAGTTGTAATGTGGGATATACATACAAATTTTTTGCTCTACCATTGACGTAACAATTGTACATACAATGTACATTGTAATTTCATTTCAATTTAATAACATTGTAATTTCATTGTAATTTCATTTAATTTCAAATGTACATTGTAATACATTGTAATTTCAAAGTTGTTTAAAACACCACATTATTAAATTTTAAAAATAACAATTTTTCAGTTAAAATTCAAAATAATTTCCTGCGAATATTATTAATCATTATTGGATAGGAATTACTAAATCAAATAATGATAGAAGGATGAAAAGGACTAGAAAATAATATATCAATTACATATTAATTTGTTAGTAAAGTTTCCTTTCCACAGATCAAACGATATTTACAATGTCAGTGATAGTAGTTCAACTATTTTAAGTCGTCCCGCATTCGTTTTTATCGTAACTTTTGCCACTGCGCCAAATTCATTAAAACATCTTTGTGTGAGTCAGTTAACACAATGAATAATTTGACAAAGATGATGGCGTAATATGGGAATTGAAAATAAATATTTATTTTTTAACTGAAAATGCGAAAATTACGAACGAGGAGAGTATATCTGAAAGAAAAGAAAACTATAAAAAGTGGAAACGACTCAGTTATTGTATATTGTGTTCTTCACTGTACATCCGCCTCAAGGGGTCTTTTACCTAGTAATTCATAAATTTCGAGATGATCCAACATGTGACTGTCGATGGCGTCACAGATCTTTTTTTTTCCACACATCGTCCGTCCACAAATATAACTTCCCCCAGTAGCCCGCACTTCCACGTGTCACAGACGGCGCAGGCGGAGGTATTTCTCGAAAGCATATTGCGCATTATCCGCGCACATTTTCTTGAGCCTTCGCTTCGCTAGTTGCGAGAGGAGTGGGGAGTTTGGTTGTTTTCACAAAAGAGGTTTATATATGAAAGTGATTCGTTCGTTTTTCGATGCAAAATAGTTTTTATTACATGGGAGAAAATATTTCTGGTTATCAGATTTTGTCTACGCCCGTTGTTATTATTTATTCTTAAATCATCTAATGTTGGCAAAGTGGCGGCAGATATTCACGGAAAATTTACATTCAAGAAAGCGTGCGCGTGTAATAGTCTCAAAGGGCCTGCATATGCATTCACGTCGATTCCCGGGTCCATG